GTCCGAAGCCGGTTCTGCTCTGACAGCAGAGAGCCTGACACAGGGCTTGAACTCATGAACTGCGAGATCATGGCTGAGCTGAAGTTGGACATTTAGTCGACTGACCAACCCAGGTGCCCCTGTGAGGCATATTTTAAAAATGAGGATTCCAAGTTTCACTTCCAATGACTGATTGAGTTTCTCCAGGCGGAGCCCAGGAACCTTTATTTTTAACAAATACCCGCAGAGGTGGAGGCCTGGAGACCACACTTTTGAGAGTGAGAAGCACTGGGAAGAGCTTAATCTTGTAGTGACTTTAGCTTTTACACTTGATCTTAGCCAAAAAATCACCGAGAAGCGATTGGTGACTTTAGCTTTTAAGTTTTCATAGAATTCTGTATGATATGTACCTGAAAAAATTTCTAGTCTTACTAACACCTTAGTGTTAATATTTGTATTTAACTTTTTCCCTTCCTATTTTGTTCTTTGTCTTACCATCTCTCCCAACACCTCAAGGAGGGAGAGCAGCAGGGCTTTCTTTTATCAACCTTAAACAGAATTCTGTATTGTAATTATTTATTTTCCTGTCTCTTCCACAGAAGTATAAATTCATAAAGTCAGGACTGACTTTAAACATTCACAGTACAGAATTCTCTGTATATGTCTACAAAAGAAAGGTCAAGGGCCCAAATACAGCAGGTTGTGAGAATCACTGCTCTAAGTTAAGTCAAAACTACCAAACACAGGTTTACAAAAGAAAAATTTCACACACCGACTAATTTCCTTAAAAAGCTCAGAGAAAAAAGTAAGTGCTAAAAGGTGAAAGCTGGAGCTCTGGAAGGTTTGGAAAATCTCTCATGCAGTTTATTCAGTGAGCAAGCTGCTGCTTTTTTCCTGTAAGCAGTTGGGACGCTGGCAGGCGCTCAGCCTTTTACAGGCAGGTGTGTGTGGGATTGTTTTCTCCTGTTGAGTCAAGTAACCTACCAAATTGAGAAAAGTCTCAAGCATGCTAATATTTCCCCTTGATTATCACAACTTGTATTCCAGAGAATACTGTCAGTAGTTTATGTGGCGATCAACCTTTTTATTTCAACATCTACTTAATTTAATCGTTTTAAGTGTATTTATTTTGAGAGAGAGAGAGAGAACATGAGCACAAGCAGGGGAGGGGCAGAGGGAGAGGGAGAGAATCCCAAGCAGTGTGGAGCCCGATGTGAGGCTCAAACTCAACGATCCCATGAGATTACGACCTGAGCCAAAACCAAGAGTTGGTCACTTAACCAACTGAGCCACCCAGGTGCCCCTCAGAATCCACTTAATTTTGGGCAGCTGCTTTAAAAGTGAAAAATTAAAAAATAAATGAATAAATAAAATAAAATAAAAGTGAAAAATTTTCAGTAGGCTCTTCATTTTCCCCCTTAAGTCAGTTTTTCCTGGATTCTTCTTCAGACTCATATTAGTTTTTGTTTCAGTCTTGAAATATCTGTATTTTCCTCTCTTGTTGTTATTTGTAAATTGTATTCTCTAGTGTTTTTTTTTCCAAATAAGTTTTCAAAAATGTTAGTTTAAATAGCTAAAAGATAAAATACTGAACCTATTTTATAATGTGTTTGGAAATATACTTTTTCTGTTAGTTTCCTTGTGTCTTATTTAACAAAAATGTGCATTGTATATTTTGTGGATTGAGAAGATACAGCATTTGCTGCTTGGGAATATTAGCCCTAAGAAGTGGTTCCTTGCCCCCAAGGAATTTAGAATCTAGCTAAAGAGAAAGATTTGTAAATAATAGAAGGAAGAATAAAATGAAAGCTCCCTAGAGGGACAAGCAGCTGACCTATGCTGGGGGAGCAGGTGAGGAGGTGAGGCTTGAGGGAGCCGGATCCAGAGGGAAGAGTTGGCCAGGTGAACATTGGGGTGGAGCAGCTACTAGAAGGCATAGAGGTATGATGGACCAGAAGGCAGTCCTCGGAGGAGTGTGGCTGCCCTCAACCTCCAGTGCAAAACAGCAGCGCAGCAAGGTGGGGGGCAGGTGAACGTGGCAGTCTCTCCATGCTGCTCACTGCCTGTTCCACTGGCAAGGAGCGACCTTGATTTTCACACTCCTCAGTTGAATGTTCCAATAATGCCA